CCCAACTGCAAAAGTTTTGTCCCCCAACGCGAAGGTAGAAAAGGAGACAAACCAAACAAAGGCAAAGAAGTGAAATGCCATAAACGCGGATGATTTGGACACATTCGTGTGAAATGTACGAATTTACTTAGGAAACAAAAGAAGGGATACGCTGCCACATTATCATATAAAGAATCAAAAGAAGATAGTAAAGGAGAAAAGGAAAACAACGTGGTTGCTTTCACAACCCGTATGAGATTCAAACCAAATGATCAGGATGATGGTTAATCTAGTGATAAAGATCTATGAGATGAAGATGATACTGAAGCATACAAACTTATGTATCTCAAGTGGAAATAGGAATGCATCTCCAATGAGAAACAAAAGGCAAAGATAAATGCTCTATTGGGAGACAAAGGTAATCTTATCACGACAATCACATATGTTAAAGAAGAAGTTAAGCACCTAAACTCCAAGCTCAAAGGTATGACTAAGTCAGTTCACATGTTAAATTTTGGTTCAAATACTCTTGATGAAATCCTAGGGGTATGAAAGACTACTAGAGATATGAAATGAATTGGTTTGACTACAAATCCATGAATACGAAAAATAAGTTTGTTCCTCCTAAATAAAATATTGAATTATTGATGTCAAACTACATGTCACAACATCCTGCTCGACATCATTACCTACATAGAAGAGTGTACTTCAGAGCTTCATGGGTACATCACTAATATGGCCAACATGGGAATATACAACCATTTTGCTACTGTTAGCTGGAAAATTTTGACCAAGAAAGTAAGAACAGGTTCAACAGGACGTCTTACAAAACCAGGTCGAAGAATCCTCGACAGCCTACCCTGTCAAAAGAACATTGAGGCATGCTCGCCAGATGGTTATCCCAGTCGAATTCGAATGAAGTCCAAAGGTTTCAAGCAAACAAGCAAGCTTGCAGCGGACGGAAACGTGGGAAGTTACAAAGGTAATGGGTAAACATGGGTAGACACATGGCAGACTAGGGATAATAGACAAGAATGTGGCATTGAGAGATTTCATATATAAGCTCGAGCATGTCAGCCCCAAAAGCAGCTTCGTCTTTGATCACAGACAAAACCTATTCCTCAAACAAGTAGGTTTGAAGTTGTTGGAGCTTAAAGGTGACAGAGGCATCCATCTCTGGCGTAGGAGTTGGATTTAAGGAAAAAGATGGGTTACCAACGAATACATGTCGATGTTTTTGGAGCCTTCTTAAAGTCTCGACTGGATTCTTTGCCTTCATGGAAAGGATTTCGTTTAGATTTAGGGGGCTGCTGGAGTCGGCATCTTGCAAGGATGGTTTGGAGGTACCCTCAACAGAATTTTGTAAAGTTTGATTGTCTTCCCCAGGCACCTCATCAGCAGCAGCTGTCGAATGCTCTTGATGTGAATTGGCTTGAGTATTAGAACCGCCAGGAGCAGCTATGGAAGTTTTTTTGTTTGCATCCGCTTGAGCGGCATAATCGTCAGGAACGATTGTCAAAATCTCCTAAGTGGCGAAACCTTGGGTATCATGTCCACCAACAAAATTCGTCGAAGTATTTTGATTAGCATTTGTTTGAGTCTCGGGATCTGGATTATCTTTGGTGAAGAAGCCTTGAAAGTCATCAAGTTTTTAGGGGTTGGGGCGGGAAGAAGTTTCCATCAAGTCTTCAACCGGGGTCCCTGTAAAAGAGGCCCAAAGTTAATACCATGAAGAATTGGTAAAGTTAGACGACATAAATAGTCAGACACCTCAGGCGTTGTCGGTTGATGAGGAGGAGAAGGAGTCGGATCCTTATGCTCAACAAGCCGAGGAGTCAAAGTAAGAGGGTCAGAGGCTTGGCCACTCAAAGAAACAGCCTTTGAGGTTGTCTTCTTGAAAAGGATAATTGGTTTTTTCTTGGCCTAAGTCACTGCAGTAGGCGTCGAAGTCTTTACATAAGGGAAGAATTGATAATGAGTACTACTTTAAAAAGCTTTGTCTTCATAAAGGGCCTCTTCCAAAACCTGAGCAGTAATAAACATTAGAGGCTCGTCGAATTGATAATTCATAAAACATCAAGACACTTGTCATACATATGGTTGCAAAGTAGAATACACTTTTGTCTTCCTTGGGTTTTTTTGGAGCGATTGTAGTGTTCGAAGCAGGCTTCCGACCCTAGAGAGCAAATTTGCAAAGCGGTTAACATTGGTAGATTCTCGAACAAAAGAGGTCAACGGGAGAATCCTTGGCTGGCTTTACAGTTGGGAGTTTGCCTCCCAAAACAGTGAAGGCATCATATAACTTTTGGAGAAAGACGGAATTGTCGAAGTACTGACACTGGTAGCGAGACCACCATGTGTCGAATTCCTTAGTGGTGAAGAAAGAGTTATGAAACCTAAATGTAGGAAGCTCAAGGTGTTGAGGCTTGTGGAATTTGAGACACGCTATGTGCCCGTTATCGTTTAGTGGTCGACCAGCCCACACGATATTTGTCGAGCAGGATACTAAAAACTTTAGCAACATTTTACTTAAACCAAAATTTCAAGCCACCAAATTGGGTTGATAGTTCATAAAACCATACCCTTTAGACCCAACCTTGATCCTGAAGGACAACATGGTGGGAGTCAGAAATTCCCTCCATACAACATTCGACTACGCCGCAGACTTTAGGGAGAGACTAGGGAAAGAATCTTGTAACCAAGTTGGGCCAAAGCATCGATCCGTAAAAGGAGCCAGGTCAGAAACAAAAGTGGTGGTGTCAATAAACATCTTGATATACTTCATGAAGATAAATTTGTTGGGAGTTTCTTGGTGAGTGGTCAATGCAAGTCTCAGGCCTTCGATGGGTCGATCCTGCGTCAGGTGCATGATACGCTCCGTCACAATAGCACATAATTGATACTCAAAAGTGGCATTCAGCCATGCTGTAGCAACCAAATAGGGCCCTACAAATTTAATGCTTTGGGGGGTGGAATGTAATAACTTTAGCTTCATCGAAGCAAGCCCCAGAGAGTGGTAAATAGTGGGCAATAGAAGTTTCTCCAAGGAAAGTTATCGGCCCTCGTGGATTTGAATCGCCAAACTGATGTAACTCTTGGCTATTTGCAAAAACCTAGGGCAAAACACGTAGTAATAAAGCCAAAGAGTTAGGAAAGTAATGTGCTCCTTGTTGGAGACCTCCTCCAAGTTATTAACATAATGGTCTTCAATGTAGTACTTGAGGGTGACACGATTAAAAGAGAATGAATTCTCAGTAGAGAGCGTAAGGTCGAAAGTCTCGCCCAAATGAGACAGGCCAGTAATGGCTGCCACGTCGAAAAGAGTTGGCTTCAACATGCCACATGGAAGGTGGAAAGTATTAGTAAAAAATTATAGCCTTCTTCCACTACTCTTGGCATTTGTTCTGGATCTCGTCGAGCCAAGCCAAGTACTCTTTATTTTCAGGAGTAGGCATCGACCTGAAGACTCTAGCATTTGGGTCCATAAATTTCAGGTCAATGGAACTATTCTTCTCGAATGTAGGCAGGATAGTAGGAATGAAACAAGGAAAAAACTCTTGCACGTTATTGAGGTGAGCTTTGGCACTTGGGTACGACCTGTGGAAGGCCAAGAAGTTGTCAGCCACCACGAAGGGAATCAACATTTGGTTTTGCCAGTTTTCCACCACAGCTCTATTAGTAGATGATGGTTGAGGGACAATCGGTAGACTCTTCTCATCAGTGAGAGTGAAAGCCAAAGGATTGTTACCAGGGACATGAGTAGCGGAAGCCATATTAGAAAGTGAGGAGAGAAGTAAAGAGGATGAAAGGTTCTAAAAATGCAGAGAAAGGAAGAAAATGCTGAAGTTTCAGAAAGTGCAAGGGAATGAGAAAAAGAAAAATGAAAAAATGGAAGAGGTATTTATAGACACCAAGAATCATACATCCACAATTGATTAGTGGCAGTCGACAACAGTCTCATGACTGTTCCATTTCCACTATAGTGGGAGGTTTAATGTGGGAAGTTGAAAACCCACGACCTATGAAGTAGCCAGAATCATGACAAATGATGAAGGGTTTCTTGGAAATTGTAGCGCAGAAAAGTAGTAATCATGATGCGTGATGTCAGCAGACGTGACATAAAGGCGAAATTTGACGAAAGTTAAAATGCCAGTTTCTCAGTCGAAGCTGGCTTTTTAGGGGGAAATTTGTTAGCTGGAAAATTTCGACCAAGAAAGTAAAAATAGGTTCAACGGGACGTCTTGCAAAACTAGATCGAAGAATCCTCGACAACCTACCATTCCAAGCCTAAGTATTCAAACCTCCAACTCATATTTAACACATAGTCTAGTATTCTTGTAGCCGATCCTGCACGTAAACTTTAATAAGAGACTAGAGGTTGTTCTTCGAAAATCCCATGCGAACAACGACAAACTATATGGAAGACCTAACTACCAGTATCAAAACCACCGTGTCAAAAACACTCAAAGTAACAGTCATTCTTAACAAGTATGAAAAGTTAAAGAGGCAACTATAAGTCACAATTCTGATACCTCTTTAAAAACTTTTTCTCATGAATATTGGTACTTTGACAATGGATCCTCCAGACACATGATTATGATTGATGAGAAGAATAATTTGAAAGAGATAAAATCCTATTCAAATAGCTATGTCAATTTTAGTGATGGTGATAAAGAAAAAATGGTTGGAACAAAGAAACTTATTTGTAAAAATTAGGTATTTTTCACAAAATGTCCAAAGATAAAACGTTGTTTTCTTAAAATATTTGAAATATGTGGTTTTGATTGTGAAATTTTGATTTTTATAATCTATGGGTATTATGGTCAAATTATTGGTTATGCGGGGGTTTAAGGTTCAGTTACGAAGGTGCGGGTAGATTTTTCTGAAATAAAGTGAACGTAGGTTCAAAGCCCAACAGCCACGAAAGAGATAGAGACCACAGTTTCTACTACCAGGGTTTTGGACTCCGCACAACCAAACCTAAAATCCCTACACCTATCTTAACAATTCCGATCACTACAATGGCCTCCACCGCCGCCAGATCAATATTCCGATCAACTTCTTCAGTCAGATCAGCGTTTCGTGTTGCATCGGAAGCAAAACCAGCTCGTTCTCCATTCCGTTCCGCCTCCAGTAAACCTCCCTCGCCATCACAATCCACATTCAGGTGATAATCGATACACATATCCACTGGAATGTTCATTATTTCCGTGTTTTGTTTTCATTTTCCAAATTCACAATCGATTAATGGGAGTAATTTTGTCTGTGTGATTAGGTCCCCAGTTGAATTGAGTTTCTGCGTGGAATCCATGATGCCTTACCACACGGTTACTGCTTCTGCGCTCATGACATCCATGCTTTCGCTTTCGAGCCGCAACTACGCTTGGCTTTCAGAAGGTATTATCAATCAAACTGTTTGATAATACTTTTAGAAAATTCAGTGTGTTTAGATGCAAATTGAATTATTTTTGTTTAGTTGCATTGTTAATTGTACACAAACAAATATGAATTAATTACAACTGGTTATTCATTTGGATTTGAATATCTGTAGCATGAGGTGCATTATGGAGAAAATTGAATAAGAACTTTTTTTTTGTCATGTTTGTGTGTGTCAATTTTATCATGATAATAACCTTGATTGATCAATGAGTTGAATCTTATTCTCTTTTGTGTTATTTGGCATTTATAATACTAAGATTTCTTAGAATCGGACTTGAAAGATTTTTCTGGTTTTATGTAGTAAAAAGTAGTTGAATTAGAGCTTGAAGAAAACCCGTGTGTGTTATGTGCCCATTTTCTTTGGGCCTGCAAGTTTGTCTCTGTTTTGATTCCTGACCATTGGTTTAATTTTGAATTAGGTAGCTAAGCATCTCTAGGATTCCTTGATGTTCTTTCTACAATTATTTTTTCGGGTATGTTTTCTTTTAGTTCTTGTGGCTGAGATTTAATAATGCACTCATATATACATAATCGTAGGCACAAGGAAGTTTCTCAATATGATCCTTGACATTATTTTTCCATAACTGTGCCAATCCTGTACCAAATATTGATGGATTAGTTTATTCCCTACTTCAATTTTCCCAGCACCCTCTCCGTAAAACAAACACCCAACTAAATCATTTAGTGAGACCATACACATTCTTTTTGTTTGTAGGCCTAAAGCAGACTATTTGAAGAGCAGGAAGCAATGGTGGATGCTGAAACTTCCTGTGATATTTTGAGCTTTAAACAAAAGATTTTGTTGCTACTAGGAATAATTTCTATGTAACTAAGTATTTGATATTATTTAGGTTTTTGGAGCACAGTTGTGTGCTCCTGAATTTGATTGATGTTATGCAGAATGTCTCTTAATTTACACTGCGAGTTATCTTATTCTCTCAATCTTTATCCATATAAATCATATTTTCCAGTGTTTGTGCATATTAAAAACTATCTCGTTTTTATCTAGAGTTGGATAAGAACAGTGACCATGTTGCTGTACTGCAATTTATTTCCTGATTTGCTTGCATCATATAGTGTAATGAGTTCACCCTGTGTTAATGGTTGACTAGATTCTGAAACTGACGTTCTGTAGGAGAACTTCTGTTGATTAGATCACTTTTATTAACATGGAAACTTGTTATCTTCGGACTTCTGTTAATCTTTTTGTATGTTAGGCGGTCTATAATGTGTTCTCTATTACTTTTCTTTTCTACTTTCAGCCGGAGATGAGTCATGATGTGATAACTAGAGAATCCAATAAAGATTATGCTCAATATTTACGCGGTGGTCACCAAAATTGTACTTTTTTCTTCTTGTAGTTGATGTAGTTTGAGTTTGAGCCTTTCTTGCTAGAACTTTTGGAAATGTAGGATTATCATTTCAAGTTCTGATTTTATGTTTTGCTTGTATAGGTCTGTGATATCCCTTAAAATCAGCTTTGGCTTTCAGAGCCATGGTTTTCACTTTCATTGCCATAATTTATTTCTGTCGTCGATATAAGAAGACGGCTTGCCATCCGTTCTCAGAACATTGGGCAGTTTTGTTGTAAGGGTATTCTTAGCATCTTGATATATGCTAATGCAAGAAGATTATGTTTGTTCGGAAGTATAAACAAAATTATGTTTCATTTCAATGTATATTTTCATGACTACTTGCAAATGTGTTTTAAGACCACATGATAGGTAATATAAAAGATGTTTGGTTTTATTTTGAAAGAGGGTAAAACAATTCTTGAAGCTTAGAATTGGTTTTGACCATTTTGATTCATACAAAGTAGAATTATTATTTTTTTTCTTTTGCATTTATTCTAATTGAAATTAAAATTTGTAGGTTTTGAATTTAAACATGATTTTTACATTTAAATTTTATGTTGAATTCACTTTTGCTTGAATATATACCAACATTAATTACTCTTCCTTCAATTTACTTTTAGCTAAAATCATTTCACTCATTCAATTTTTGTTACCACGTAACCATATACTATAATGTATGAAAACACCTTCAATTGTGAAAATATAAATTTATTTGATGAATCAATGATCTATTTTCAATATGCAAATTTTTTTGCTCCCTTGTCATTGGATTGGTTGGTGTAGCTTAACCAAATCTAATCGCAAAGGAGGTTTCGGGATCGGATCTACAAGGAATTATAACATTTCTACATTAGGATAGCATGTTTGGAATTTCTCAAGGTTTAATTTAACTATATATGTGGTATATGTGGTGGGTATGGCCTGATTTGTTTTTGCTTTTTATACTATAAATATTCAATATTCGTATGACTTATTGAAATCTTACATGCCACACCCTCTTTCTCTTTTTTCATAAATAGCGCCTCAAAATTGTCTTATAAATCTCAACTATTTTCATTTTTTTTTTCATAAATAGCGCCTCAAAATTGTCGTATAAATCTCAACTATTTTCATCTTTAAAACACTTTAACAACACTTAAATCACAGCGCCTTCTGTTTTCATCTTTAAAACATCAAAGCGCCTTCTGTTTTTATCTTTAAAACACTTTAACAACACTTAAATCAAAGCGCCTTCTTATAACAATGGGTAACCATTGATATCTTTGTATTTTTTATTTAAAATAAAATTTTCATTGTTTCTTCTCTTTGCTAGGTAAGATATTTATTATGAGATTTAGAGGTAGATGAATGGTTAGTCACACTAGGTAAAATTTTCATTGTTTCTTCTCTTTGCAAGTCGTTTGAGGTTTACATCTACAGTCCTCTTTTTAAGAAGTGTTCTCAGGGTGTGTTCAACATTGGAAATGATCCAAACAGGGGAAATGGTTCATGGATATGTTATAAAGAATGTGTTTGTTGTTACTGGACTTATTGACATGTATGCAAAATTCAAGCGTATTTCTGAAGTTGAGTTTCTTTTCAAGGGGTTGGCATTTGATAGGAAAAATCATGTCCTGTGGACTGCTATGGTTACCGGTTATGCTCAAAATGGTGATGGTCGTAAAACTGTTGGAATTTTTCATTACATGCGTTGGTGGAAAGATTTAAAAGAGGTGAGGTTCCTGATTAGTTGAAGAAAATTCATTGTGAAGTTTCATAATCTTGCTTAGTTATTGATTAGTTTAAGACAACTCATTGTGAATGCAGACTATTTAGAAGTGTTTGATTTTTTTTACACATTATTAATATTTTACGAGGTTTTAATCTCTCAAAACAAAACCTCTTTAATTTAAACAAAATATCAATTTTTAAAATTTTATATATATATATATATATATATATATATATATATATATATATATATATATATATATATATATATATATATATATATATATATATATATATATATATATATATATATATATATATATATATATATAAATAAAAAAGTTGACTCAACTTGTCTACCTGTTATGTCACGTAGCTAATTAACCTTTTTTTTTTTTCAATTTTTAACGGCAAGAACTTTATTATATAAGGAACAATTTTTAGGAGACTAGTATGTAACGTTTTTTTCGTTAAGAGATCAAAACAAAATATTATATTAAGTTAAAGGACTTTAAGATTAATTATGCAATTTCTCAATAACCCTTGTAAATTATGGGCCCAAATGCTTAGTGCTAAATACTTGGAGATGTGTGCCTTTTTTATGCTAATATGACTCAAGGTACTTCTTGTATTTTGTGTGCAATAGTTAAAGTTAAAGATCTCCTCTTCATGCATTTGGTGTGTAATAGTTAAAGATATAGATGTCCTCTTCATGCATTTGGTATGATAAATCGATTTATTTTAAAATTAATGATTTTTTGTGCAATAGTTAAAGCTAAAGATCTCCTCTTCATGCATTTGGTGTGTAATAGTTAAATATATAGATGTCCTCTTCATGCATTTGGTATGATAAATCAATTTATTTTAAAATTAATGATTTTTTTTATAATTTGGTTCATTATTGTTTTGGACTGGATTGACACATGTCTTACAACTGGGCAAGGCCTAATTCAGTTTAACCTAAGACCAGACCCAATAAGAACATTGAGCACAATATGACCGTTGGACACATTATAGTCGTTGGAGCACATAACTTTTAGGGACACCTTCCTCACACGCTTGACAGTTCACGCGATCAACTGACCCTCAGAAATTCATGGAGATAGTTGGACCAAGTTAAAGATCACGCGCTAGATCTTCCACCTGGAAGTCTCCCATTGGTCGGCCAGATATTTCGGCCACGTGGGAGGCCTTGGCCCCGTGTTGTGGGGAATCTCATAAATACCCTCTCTCTTGAGAGGGTTAGGTGTTCTAATCATTCTAACTCATACCTAAACACTCGTACTTGCTTTCTCTCTAGCCCAAACTTACTTTGGCATTGGAGTAACTTGCAGGTACACCACTTCTCTTCTACAACCATTGTTACTGCCCTACATTAAAGGGCAAGACGATCCATTCTGATCACTCTAAATCAGTCCTTTTCTGGACTGGACTGGCACATGCCCCACAATTGGGCAAGGTCCAATCCAGTTTAGCCTAAGGCTAGGCCCAATAAGGATATTGAGCACAATATAGCCATTGGACACAATATATCCGTTGGACACAAAATGACCGTTGAACACATTATAGCCGTTGGAGCACATAATCGTTGGGGACATCCCCTCACGCACTTGACAGTTCACTCGACCAACTGCCCTTACGAAATTCATGGAGACAGTTGGACCAAGTCAAAGATCACGCGCTAGATCTTCCACCTGGTAGTCTCCCATTGGTCGGTCAGATATTTCGGCCACGTGGGAGACCTTGCCCCCGCGCTGGGGGGAATCTCATAAATACCCTATCTCTTGAGAGGGTCAGGTATTCTAATCATTCTAACTCATACCTAAACATTCGTACTTGCTTTCTCTCTAGCCCAAACTTACTTTGGCATCGGAGTACCTTGCAGGTACACCCCCTCCTCTCCTACAACCACTGTTGCTGCCTTACATTGAAGGCCAAGGCGATCCATTCTAATCACTCCAGATCAGTGGCGCCGTCTGTGGAAATACCAGCTTCCCCGTCTTTTTGAACCAAGATTCCCCAATCTTCCTGAACAAAAGACCAAAGCTATCTCTCTGAACCTTCACCGTCATGGCCTCTCACCATAATGACGTCCATCAAGATTCCATCGTCACCATTCTGGGTTGCGACAAAACCCCCATTCTCGGAGCTGCCACAGGAGAAACTGATCACAAGGACGAAAAATCGACATCTCCTGACAACGTGAAGCCTCGGGTCCAAAGTTCCAACCATGTATACGAACCTATCATCGCCCCACAAGATGGTGACTCCTGCATTGCTGCCCTCATTGTCGCTCTCAACAAATCCAACTATCTGCTCTTCCAACAAGGGAAAAAAATCCATATGCTGGAGAACACCATCGGAGAGCGACCTCCCCCGCGGGGATCCCTTAGCCCATCTCGCCGGTCTCGTTCCCATCTTCAGAAGCGTCGCCAAGAAGAATCCAGAAGCATCTCCCCAGTCAAAGAACAATCCAAATTGGAGAAGCATGAACGCGAGATCAACAAAAGACACGTTCGTACCCCACCCCGAAGGTTCAAATACTCCCCAACACCCAAAAGGACCAGACCTTCTGAAAAACCTCACGAAGAACCCCGAAGCTGACACGAACGTTCTCATCAATGCAGCAGGAACCAGGGACGCAATTATTCTTTTAGCAGGTCGCCAAGCACGAGCGACGAAGACGACGCCCGCGGTCCCCTGTCACAGGAAATCATGGACACCCACATTCCTCGTGGGCTGGAGAAACCTCCCCCTCTGGCTATCTATGATGGTACCATCGATCCTGGTGACCACATAGAAAATATTGAAGCCATGTTGCACTACCACAATGTCACTGGGGCAATCAAATGCAGGCTATTTCCCATCACCCTCAGGAAGGGGGCTATGGCTTGGTATAAGAGCCTTCCTCGGGGCTCAATCATGTCCTGAAGGCGTCCGAATGAGCAGTTTGCCCGATACTTTACTGCCTCCAAACGTCATCCGAAATCTAAAGCCACGCTTGAGGATATCATCCAAGGCAGGGACGAACCTCTTCGCTATTACGTTGACATATTCACTAAGGAAGTTATCAAAGTTCGCACAACCGACCACATGAAAAAGTATATGCTAGAAGAGGGACTGGGGCCAAAAAGCGAATTCCGCAAGGCAGTAGGAATTGACCCTCCTCGTTCTCTAGTCGAACTTCTCCGCGAGGCACAATCCTATATTCAAT